TAACTGCACAGATATAACAAAAAAATTAATTTAGCACCATCACGTATAGTGAATATTCATTATGCTATAATATATGAGATGGCGGTCACTAACAGCTGACTGTAATATCGATATACGCATGCACGCACTTCTATTCTCATAGCCTATCGCTTCGCGAGACAAAACGTTGCAAAACGTGTCGTTTCATGGCCTTGAGATTTTACTCTCATCGAGCCCAAAGAAGTTTCACTTCAAAAAGAGTATTTGCGCACAGTGGCTTATTTGTGCAATTGCACTGCACAAAACTATAGCATGCTCTGTCTGAATTTATGATGGATAGTATAATATTGTACTGTAGCAGCTGCTAACCTTTATGGCTCCAACTGCTAATAGTTATATTGGATGCTGCTCTATGGATATTGCTGGAAATGCCACCACGTTTCAAACCATTTACTTTAATTATTGGCAACTATGCTAGAATATTATCGCAGATGGTACCATTAGGGTGCACCCAAAACCATATTCTATAAACCCCGCTTATAGCAAGTACTGTTATTATGTTTATTTATGTCATACAATATAGAAGAGAGCAGGATGTACGTTTAATATTGCAGATTGTATCGGTATTGTATCACATAGAGTTGCAGAATAAGATAAATATTCAAAACTTTTGGGTGTTTCATTCCCACCAGCCACTAATGCTGGTGGACGGGCAGTCCCTTCGGACTACGCCGGAAGGTCGGATGGGAGGCCCTCTTCAGCCTCTTTTCAGGAATCGTGGGTGGATGGTGGTTCGGGTGAGAAAGATGAAACGGACGAAATGAAGACAGAAGGGAATGAAGGATTATTAAGAAACCACAGAAAATCTTGGACCAAGGTAGACGGACCCGGAACCAACCGGCGTTCTCCCGAATGCTAAACAATGGGCTGAACCTCTAGCCCATGCAGCTCGGTGTGTGTGTAGTGCTGATCAAACCAATGAAGCTCCTAAAGAATGAGTTTATACAGTATCCAAATACAGACAGTGCATTGCCATCTGTGAGTGTTTTCTGCATTTCATGCTTCAGATAAAGCCTTACGAAGGTATCAACTTTCAAATTAAGTTGACGATAAAGACTACATATTTAAAATGTTTGTAAATCATTTTAATAAGAACATCTATTACATTGTTGCTCAGTAATTTATGCAGATACCGCTGATGAGATGAAATAAGGCCGAAATCGGGATTCGCGTTTAATAGTTTCAATTTTCTGACTAAAAATATAATAAATCCTCTTATTAATATAGTTTGCGTACTTGTGTATGCTGCATTATCGTTTAGCAAATGGTTACAATCGGCAACCCTTGTAGCGCTGATAAAGACCCACGGAATCAGTGTGGTGTAATTTTTGCAAATGATTACTCAAAAATAAAAGTACATATATATATATATTATATTTCAAATAGTGTTGCAAATTTAGAAACTATTAAAATAAAATTATAAACATCATTTATTGGATTAAATATGATGAATGATTCCAACCACTTCATTGGTATGACTGAAATTGTCGCTGTCCGCTTTATTCTTTCTAAACATTCAAAATAAATAGGTAAATATTTAATTTCTACAAATCGTAAAATCTCATCCGTTATGATGTCTGGCAGTTGGTGGTATATACTATGTACTTACAGTTTGCGTTTTGCTGGAAATTGCTGTTACTACTTACTATATTTTCATATGATGCAGGATATGGTATTTATTGTCATAAAGCATACCTCTATATGCTATAGCAGGGATTGGCAAGTATTTTCTGTTCAGAATACTTTTGAAAATTTTTTTTGAGGTCCAAGAAAAAACATATTTCTTACCAATTTATTTTAATTTGCCTAAAATACATAAGTCCTTAAGAACTCATGTCTGTCACGCAATTATTGGTAAAGTACTACAAAAAATGGTAAGGTTAGCGCTCAAAACTCAAAGGTATTTTGCTATCTACAGAAGTATATTTTTTAAATAATTTATTTGAATAGTTCATACTTTCAAAAAATTTTTGGCGGAATTTTTGGTCCGTAGTCCGCTGCCGACCATTGTCCTATAGTAACGTTTTGTATGTTTCATATCAGCGACTTCGTTTGCGTTACCTTACAGTTGTTGTTGATATTCACCATCTGCAAGATATATGTTATATCTCAATTAATCAGACAAAATACGAATTTTTATATCAGTATTAATCTCAACAACAATAGTGTTGAGTTGACTTCCCAATACCTTTGATAATATAACTTTGATTTGTTCAAATAACTTCTCTATACCAAATTATTCGCTTTGTTACGTAGTTACTATACGATAATTATTAAATCAACTTATTTCAATAAATTACTGATTTAAAGTACTCATAAAGTAAATGTTGGAACAAAAATGTTTATTAATTAAATCACAACAATATTAAAAAACAATATTAGATACAGTGGCGATGTGTATAACATATACGTACATACCACTTTTTGCTACATTTTATAGCAGAAGTTATTATCATAATGAATTTTCCAGTGTGAAATGTAGCCTCATATGCTAAACCTAAAAAAAAAACAGATTAAGATAAACATTCAAAACTTTTGGGTGTTTCATTCCCACCAGTCAGTAATGCTGATGGGCGGGCAATCTCTCCGGACTACGCCAGAAGGTAGGGCGGAAGGGCCTCTTCAGCCTGCTTTCAGGAATCGTGGGAATGGGTGAGTGGTGGTTCGGTTGAAAAAAAATGAGACGAGCGAAATGAAGATAGAAGAGATTGAAAGATTATCTGTGGAATATTACTGCCTCAGCATTTGCCTAAGTGATCCAAGGTAACTACAGGAAAACTTGGACTAAGGCAGACGGACCCGGAATCGAACCGACGTCCTCCCGAATGCTAAGCAATGGTTTAAACCAGGGCTTCTTAAACTTTTTTCATTCACGACCCCATTTATGATAGTAAGTTTCCTGGCAACCCCATATAAATATAAAAGAAAGATAAATAAATATTTTTTGATGGCTTATTTATTAGGTAACAATATACATTAAAATCTCTCGCGATCCCAGAATTTTGTTACGCGACCCCATTTGGGGTCGCGACCCATAGTTTAAGAAGGCCTGGTCTAAACCTCTAGGCCATGCCGCTCGGTACTAAACCTATTATTTTCTATGTTAACAGCAACTACCCCCATGAATTTTTTTCTCAGTGCATGATGTGAATTGCTGGTAACTTAGCGGGTTAATTTTTATAATCGTTTAACGGTATTCTTAGTTTAAGATAGAATCAAATACTCTCCAGTCAAATACATTTAAGAATCAGATTATTATTTTAATGCAGTTTCCGAATACACTAATTATTACATTGCTAATAATGGTGGTCGAGAAAAATTCATTAAAAAAATAGCATTAGTAGAATTTGATGGGTTAAACTATTTACTTTTGATCATTACTTTTAAGTTTGAAGATGTGCATGAATGCAAATAAACAAAATGGAAATTACAGTATTTTACACATTTATATTTCTAAATAAAATAGTTACTCCCACCTTTTTGGTAGTACCTACAATTCAGNTTTTCTCTTTTGCACATACAAATATTACTAAGTTTTCGTGTTTTATAGTGCCTTATCACCTCCTGCAAGCTTGCCAATTATTTCAGAAACACCCTGAAACACAGAAATATTTAGTTACAGTACTTTTTAGAGCGCAGACCTAAATTTCCTATTAATTATGATAGCGATAGAAATCCAATTTCTAAAACGCCCCGCTTTTTTAGAAATTACTATTAATACCGGAGGAGTTACATTAGGTTTTGATCTATATATAAATCATAAATCACATTTTGAATTTCTGTCAATCAAAATCCGAAAGTTTGTCGTTAATAAATGGTACGATCCGCACGTTATGGCCTGATTTGTCTATCGTATTTTACAAGTACATATATGTATGTTCTAAGACAATTCCACCAAAATATAATTTAGTACACTAATAAGTAGTAAATGTACTCCGCAGATAACAATGGATCATAGCATCATCAATCCTCTAAAGCTTGTAAGAATAATCATTGTTCGCTATTAGAAATTATACAAAGATTTGTTGTTGTCCATGATTATCCGATGGCACATTAAAAAATCAAAAATAATTGTAAGGTCATAATAAAGACTTTACTCATTACTTTTAAGGTAGCTTTGTAACTTTGACATGTATTACAGTGCTTATTGTGAAAATATATTGCAATAATTACATTAAATGATCAATGTATTCAATTTTGTTTTCTGTAAATGTACCTGTAGTTAATTAAAGTGTAATTCATGTTTTTTACTTTGACTTATTTTATACTTGCGCCTTATGAATTTTCGTACATCCCGGGTGGAGAGATGTCTTTAAATAATAATTGCTTCATTATGAGGACTGCTTCTTTTAATGCTATTACAGCTAGTACGTATCTGTTTCATTAAATGAAAACAAGTAGAAAGTAAATGGAAACGTTGAAAAGAAAATCTAGAAGAAATTGTAAATCATGAGATTGTTACCAAAATGCTACAGTCCTTCAGTACATAGTACGAATCGACATTGAAAAGAAATATTGTAAAATGAATTTTTGATATAAAAATAACGCACATGAAAAAATACTACAAATGGCGCAGTAAACGCCATCTGTAGCACGATGCTACATTTTACGATTATGTATGCTCCAACAAGGTCCACTTGTGTGGATATCTACTTGCTGAAAACGAATCCCGGCGTAGCCAACCTCAACGTGATAGGCACGCTACCATAATCGAATAAAATAATTCGAAGTGGTCTGTATTCTGTCGAAACTGCCAGACGCGGATCGCGATTTCGATCTTTTTGGATCNTAGCATCACAAGGTTTCCAGTCTCAAAACTGGTTGGAAAGGTTGGCTTATGATAGGAGTCTTTGGACTGGAAACCTTATGATGACAAATTCATATTCTGGATCTTAGTCGTATCGACTGATTAAAAAGTATCGTTTGCAGGTAATATGCTTATAAATAATTTGGAAATATTTTTTCCAGGAGACACCAGAGTGAACCAAATGATCGCGTTAGTTGCAGTTCATCTTCTTTTCCATAGGGAACACAATCGCGTCGCTGAAGAACTTGCATACTTAAATTCGGATTGGGATGATGAAAAGTTATTCCTAGAAGCACGACGTATAGTAATTGCCGAATTTCAGGTTATAACCTACAAGGAGTTTTTACCAGCTGTTATTGGTAAATATAATTTATTTCTTTCGAAAATAGTTAATGTTACCTATATTCTTGTCAAAATTTAGACATTATACATTTTTATAGAGTTAATATTATGCCTAATTAACAAATTCATTTCAAGGACATGAAAGTATGGAGGAATTTGGCTTATATTTGCAAGAAGGATTATCTTATTCTTATGATTACGATCACAAGGTAGACGTTTCGATATCGAATGAATTTGCTTCTGCAGCTTTCAGATATGGGCATTCAATAGTTGAAGGATACTTAAAGTAAGTAAATTTCGTATTTACTACAGATAAAAAGATATATAGCTTTTTATTGCATTGTAATTATGTTTGTTATGAGAAAGTTGGAGTTCTTGTCACAATTTATTATCATCATCATCATCCTTATAATTTCATCAAATTGAATGGCTGGATACGGTGCTCATTCCTATCTTATGCTAATTTTCCTGTTTCCCAAAAGCTAAAAAATCCCCATATATATCTAACTATTTGCGAACAGTAATATAATCTATTTCTACCTCTCCTCCGCTCTTAACTGCTGTTTGTTCTTCTATTAGGTCTCTAACGAGCCCTTCATGTCATTCCGGAGGACGCCGGTTCGATTCCGGGTCCGTCTGCCTTGGTCCAAATTTTTCTGTGGTTTTCTTGGATCACTTAGGGAAATGCTGGGGCAGTAATATGCCACAGGAAATCTTTCATGCTCTTTTGTCTTCATTTCGTCAGTCTCATCTTTCTCACCCGAACCATCACTTACTCATTATCACGATTCCTGAAAGGAGGCTTAAGAGGGCCTTCCGCCCTATCTTCCAGCGTAGTCCGGAGGGGCTGCCTACCCACCAACATTAGTGACTAGTGGGAATGAAGCATCCAAAAGTTTTTTGTAGTGAAACTTCTTTGGGCTCGATGAGAGTAAAATCTCAAGGCCATGAAACGACACGTTTTGCACGTTTCGTTTCGCGAAGCGATAGGCTATGTCAATAGAAAAACGCGCATGCGCATTTCGATATTACAGTCAGCTGTTGGTGATCGGCATCTCATATATTATAGTATAATGTATCTTCACTACACTATAGTGCTAAATTAATTTTTTGGTTACATCTGTGCAGTTATATTACAGTAAATGTTTATTTAACAACAATTAATATTTATTTAAGAGTGAGTATTATTATGTATTAATTCTAATTCCTTGTAGTTATTGATAGTTTACGGTTTCTTAAGCACTTGGAAAAATAAACGGAAGCGAAAAAAATTTGACCATTCTTTTGATATTGAATTACATAAAACGCATTAAAGTAATACTCCTTAGGTGGACTAAAAATAAAATATGCTGGAAAACATAATCATTACTTATTCGTTATAAAGCTATAGAGATCGCCAAAGAAGTTTCACTTCATTCACGTGTACTGAGTTGCAGCTGTTATCTGTAGGTTTTTAGTGGTAAGTGTGTATAACTGATTTAACATCTTCCCAATCCCCGGCTTCTCCTTTGTGTAAGGCAGCGTCTGATGAAACCACGAAGATCAGCTTCCCCTACTGTCTGGGTTCTCTTAGGCGGTGTTCTCTTTGTCTCATTTCACGTTTTTGGAAAAAAATAACTCCTGCAGTTCTTACAGAGGATCATTGGTATAACCTTTTCCACTTTTTACATCGGGAGGACTAGTCTTCCTTTAACCACTTGCGAACGCGTACTGGAAGCCGCTTCACCATCCCCAGTCTGATTTTCCACTGCGTCAACCACCCGCGAAACCAATTTCACTTATCACTACTGTGGGCTGGTTTACCAGCGAAGAAGTATCTATTGACGAAACCGCGTCTGTCGTTGATACTGGTCTCATCTCACAGCAGTGCCGAATATAGGAGTAGACCCACGATACACTTATACCGGTATGCTACTCCTTCGGCTCAAACGCGTCTAGTTCGCGCAGATGACGTCACTGCGAAGCACGGAATGAGAGACAATTTTACCGCATTTCAAATAAACTCCGAATTTCTGTAAATTACTCCAATCTTTTGTTAATATTGTGTTATTGTGTGTATAAATATGCCAGGGTGTGCGATTGCTGGATGTGGAAACTACAATAGAATCACTAAGGAAGCAAAAATAAAATATTTCCGATTTCCAATAAAAAACAAAGAAATCTGTAAGAAGTGGATTAACGCATGCCGCCGAGCCGATGAAATAAATCTAAAAAACGGTAGGTACTATCACCGAATAAAAATTTATTCTGAAGTAATATGGATTTGTAATAATTGTTTTCTATTATACAATTTTCAGCATGCATATGTTCAGCCCGCTTTGAACCTAATTGATGTTATTTTATTAATACGAACTGAGTTCAAGCTGTATTTGAATAAATTTATTAATCCTTTGATTACACCTCAACTATTGCTANTAGAATTTGATGGGTTAAACTATTTACTTTTGATCATTACTTTTAAGTTTGAAGATGTGCATGAATGCAAATAAACAAAATGGAAATTACAGTATTTTACACATTTATATTTCTAAATAAAATAGTTACTCCCACCTTTTTGGTAGTACCTACAATTCAGAAATCGAAACTTTACATTAACATAGTACGTATATTCGTACTTTGTATTCACGATCGGTTGTATTCGAATAATCGACGCCGACATGCAAGGTTGATTACCCAAGTAGAAATGAAAAACGATCAACCATAACATACATCTGGACTGGATCAGGCTCTTAGTAGGGAATTCATATTACGATATCTATACTTAACCCCTGTCAAGTAGTGGAAGGAGTTCCCTATTACGAAAATCCTTGTTTATTTTCGTATACCTAGGATCCTGACTTGATTATTATTTAGAGGATTCCTTATTTGTTCCGATATGTTCGTAAGAACAAACCAATTATTATTTATTACGATTAATTTTCAAAGTGTTAATAAAATTAGAACTTAAAGTGAATTAATTTGTACCACTTCAATGAACCTAAAATTAATGAGGAAAAATTGTTGCTTCTGTCACGCCATAGCCGGGAAACGAAATCGTGTCCTGGCGCTATGCACTATTCCTGTACAACTACATTACGGAAGGTAACATCAGCTACAACGATGATCTTACCTAACTACGAAGGTCACAGAATCGTCGAACCAAATTAATTCACATTAAAAACCCTACAAAAGTATTCCTCTAAAAATTCTCAAAGTTGAAACTGTTCAGCATGAGATGGAGAATAAGTGCATTCGTAATATCGAAACATGTTTGATTTAAACTGAACGAATCTTATTGCAGTTATTTATTACTGAAACTGAATACATATAGAAACTCGTATATCGAGAATGGCTGTGACAGAACATTTTTCAAAATTCTGCAAACGTTGAATATTTCTGTCAAATTATACAGTTGGCTGGGGATGTGATGGATTTTCGTTGAGCATCATACTACGTGGAATCTCATTTTCAGTTACGACTGTAAGTAGGTAGCATCTGTTTTAGTTGCAGTTTATCTTTAGGAACAAGAAGGAGACGCAACAATTTGTCTCATTTTCAACGACAAGTAGAAAACGGCGGCGGAGAACGATGGCAGACAGAGACAGCGTTGTCTCAGCTGCCATTCGCACAACTTTAATGGCTGCTCTTGTCAAACACGTGGATATTAACGTATTCAACTGCTAAAGCGTGCATATTGATTGCCTTGCAGATAGCGTGTGCGGCAGGAATGATCCAGTAAAGTGGATGAAGTGTCATCGTGACAAGAAGATAAGCAAACATCCAGTGCTTTCGAATAATCGTTGAAACCATTAATCTATACAAGCGAATATTTGAGTTTTCGTTTCATTTATAGCACGTTTATTTAACAACTTTGGAAATGTAAGTGCAATATAATAATAATAATATAATTTGTGGAATAGCAAATCTGTTTCTATTAAATTATTTAATTTGTCATTAATGGCATGTTGTTAAATTACTAACACCTCATATAAACAATCTTGCTTGTAAAATATATTGATTGTGAAATAAACTACAGGTTTTACAATTTGAGCTTTTACTATAATATCTTCTGAAATATATTTCTGTAGCGAGGACTTTCATTAAGCAAAACTAATAAAGTATCATTTTTCCACGGAGCATGTCCCTAAAAAAAAATAATTAGAAGGAGGCAAAACTGTTGTTTGAAGGAATCAAACTGCTTTAACGAACAAACGTTAATCAGATAGGCTTTATTTGTTTTCTTATATTTAAGTGGTTATCCATCATGAAAATAAAACGTAAAATGGCATACCCACCGATAATATTTGTAGAAACCACAAGAGAAGTAGACGTCTCCGATGTTGATAAATCCGATTATAGATATTATCGAATGAACTGCTCAGGAACGCAGTCAAGAAGCAAGATTTCCTCTTTCTAAAGTTAAAGAATAAGACCTAGTTGAAGTAGTAAAAGTCATTTACTACATTCTTAGAGGCGACATAAGTTCATAAGGATTAGTGTTGAATTTGTAAGGGCGTCGCTCTCTTCTAAGAAAATCAAAAATTTTAGAATAGTTCCTAATCTAAGTTGTGTGAAAAACTAAGAAAGTGAATAGCCGCTAGTTGTAAGCTAGGTCTCTTCTGTTCATGACCGCGGAAAATTGCAGCGCAGGGTCTAGATGTATTTTATTAAAAGCTTTCATTTAACTTGTAATGCTTCTATGTTAGCTTGCTTATTTAGATCAAATCATGCAAGCTGAATTACAACCGCTTGCTCTTATCCTACGGAGTTGAATTTTCATTCAGTTCTGATGACAATGCATTTTTATTAGTAATCATGACCTGAATCGATATCCAAGTTTAACTCCATATTAAGGTACTCTTCAACGGTCAATACCACAGAGACGAAACTTATTGTATGCATTTTATTATGGTAGCCATAATAACTTATTGTAAGTGTCAACGTGACATGAAAATCCCCCAAATGAGCATGAGAGGCAAGATCAATTAAAATAAAAGGGAACAAGAGGAATGTTGACATGAATAAGAATAAATACTAAACTAATCGATTATAAGAAAGAAAAAGATGAAGATTGGCTCCTGCCATTCGATTTTTACCAATGTTTTGGGTATGAGACAGGTCGCTGCGGAATTCCTACCAAAATTGCTCAATTTCGACCAAAAACAACATCGCATTAACATTGCTAAGGAGCTGTTGGACTCTGTCTACCCAAATTTGCTCCAGAGGATCATAACTGGTGACGAATCATGGGTTTATGGTTATGACGTGGTAACCAATACTCAATCTTTCCAATAGAAGCTGTCGCACGAGCCAAGGCAGAAAAAAGCGCACAAAGTTAGGTCGAATCTGAAGGTTTTGCTTACAGTTTTCTTCAATTGCAGGGGCATGGTGCAGGGTAGAACGGTAAATAAGGAATATTACCTGCAAGTTATATGCAATTTGAGTGAAGCAATCCGCCAGTAACGTCCGGATTTGTTCACACATCGTTGCTTGTGCGCCAATTTTTGGCCAAAAACAACACACTAATAATGCCGCAGTTACTGTATTTCCTAGATATGACCCCCTGTAACTTTTTCTTGTTCCCTAAACTGAAGAGGCCCATGAAAGGACGACGCTACGCTACGATTGAGAAGATAAAGACGGCATCGAAGGAGGAGCTGAACAAGATCACAAAAAGTGATTTTTGAAGTGCTTCGAGGGTTGGAGAAAACGTTGTCATAAGTGTATAATATTTGGTGAGAATTACTTTGAAGGGGATCAAATAGATAGTCATAAATAAATAAATAATTTTTGAAAAAACACAAAATTCTCGATACTTTTTGAACAGACCTCGTATATTAGTTACAAAGTTACCGTTACATAGTAACGCTATTAATAGTATATAAGCACATAGAGGTATACTTCCTTAAAACAAAGAAGTTTTAAACATAGCCCTTATCCATATTTATAAAGCTTGAAGCTCAATAGGTTATAGACCAAGTTGTACTGTATTTAGGTAAAGAGGAATTTTTACATCAAATAAGAACGTGTTAAAAATTACCTAAAATTTCTGTTTGCACAATAGATCTTACGAAATCGATGCGATTTGAAAAGTTCGCCAGATGAAAATTTAAATTTCAAATTAGATGCGCCCTAAAAGCAAGAGACTTAAACACACAAAAACCAGAAGAAACAAAGGTACTACAATGGATGAAGGAATAAGGTATGCCGATGGGTATAATTACGTCTTCTATGAATTTGAATTAGAATTCCAAGGAGGAGAATTTGGCCAAACAGTTGAAAGAAAACGGAAAAGGTATCAGTAATATGGTTATGAATAAAATAGTCGGTACACTACCTTCCAGACTAAAACTGCAAATAAATGTCTATTTACACCATCAAATAACATGAAATAGTATCAACACTATCGGTTTATATGTTATAATTGTAATAAGAGCGAACATTTCGCAAGAGGTTCTGTTTGGCTGCATCTCTTTCTGTTACATATTAATCGGTGTAATGTTATTCCTTTTTCTTTATTAGCGTCCGCTGCAATTCCTAAGTGACATCTCTTTTCTATGCTTACGATATTCCCTACAACGTCTATCGTGAGCAGAAGTAGGCATTCTGTCAGCAACCGCTTTAGTCTACTTAGTATGTTGAAAGAAGAAAGTAATTGCGACAGTTTTACTGTGGATTATACCAATTGTGAAAGTCTATACCATGTATATGAATTAGGAAGAGAGTTAATCATTCTCGCTGGTACTTTTAATTTGCAATCGATGATGCGATTAATATCACTAAAGACAGGACATCGTTTAGGGTTAGACAAACAGAAAATGAGCATGCTTAAATTTGAGTACTAAGTATATAACAGTAATACCATCTAGCATGGATAAGTCCGGATTAGCTTTAAATAAAATGGAAGAAGTACTGATAAAAGAGGATGATATGAAGATTAATAAAAATAAAAGAAAAATAATGCATCTGTAACGGATGTAAAAGTAGGGTTAGGACTAATAAAAGTAGAAAAATATGAACTAGAATAAATCGCTGATTTTCGATAACTCGCGATGGAAAAGCGCTAGAGATACAAAATAGCGAAAAGCGCAGGGTCGGGTCGCCTTTAAAAAATGAAATTACTTTTGTGCTCAAGGTCCGTTAATTTGAAAATTCGAAAACGATTATTAAAGGTGCAGATCTGTAAAACTTAGACGGTGAATACTGCGGAAAAGAAAAAGTTACAAGGGTTTGAGATGTGGTATTGTAGGATGTTTAAAAAAAAAAATTTTATAATATGACAAAAAGATAAAAAAAAGAAAAGGATAACCTCATTTTTAATTAATGCATATCAATCATGAGAAGAATAGATTATAAACAACAAAATGGGAAAAAGAGAGAGCAGGTTTATGCGTAGAAATAGGAGAAGAAAATAGAAGAAAGCATAATTGAATGGTTGAAAAAGATCAAAACAGGGTAAATATAAAAACAATAGAAAGAACGAATCAGGAAATCCAACATACGAAAAAAAACTATATAAGATGGGGACAAGACAAGAAGTTCCATTATATCTACAGAAAAGAGCAAAGCAATGAATATCAAAATGACAGCGGAATTTAGTACAGATGATGAATGGAAAAAAGTAGATACTGAATAGAAAATAGTAAGAACTATACATTCAATGAGGAGAAGATAAAAAATGAAAAAAATATAATGACAGTATGTAGTGCCCAAAGCCACTAATTGCACAAACCAAATCAGAAAGCACAGAATCTATAAAAATGTGTTTTTACAAAACATTTATGTGAATATTGTTTAATGAATTTTCATTTGCTCTATTTTTCTCGAAATGGTTTGTCAAATTCAATGCCACAGCACAGATGAAAAGAAAAAAGAAAAGATTCTATTATTCCTATTGCCAAAGTTACAAGGTCCCAAAACCGGCATCTATTAATCCAAATTTCTTAGAATCGCTGACAATTGTATACTGTATATTCACTATACTATAGTACTAAGTTAATGTTTTGGTTATATCTGTGAAGTTATATTAAAGTAAGTGTAATACAGTAAATGTTTATTTAACAACAATTGACCTTTATTTAACAGTAAGTATTATTATGTATTAATTCTAATTCCTTGTAGTTATTTATAGTTTACGGTTTCTTAAGTACTTGGAAAAATAAACTGAAGCAAAAAAAATTTGACCATTTTTTTGTTATTGAATTACATAAAAATGTATTAAAGGAATACTCCTTGGGTGGACTAAAGATAAAATATGTTGGAAAACATAAATCCTGAAAATTCTAGTATTCTCTCTTTCTTCCACCAATCATTACTTATTCGTTATAAAGGTATTGAGATCGCCAAAGAAGTTTCACTTCTTTCACGTGTACTGAGGTGCACCTGTTTGTTTATTGTCTCAACAGGCAATAAAGGCTACATATATTTTTTAAATAGAACATGTGTGTGTATGTGCATGTGTTATAATAAAATACACATAAGTATATATTTTAATATAAAATACATCTTTATTAACTGCAGCTATTGATAGGAAGTACTGTATTTAAAATATACGGTATCAATCGTACCTATATCAGAAGATCGCAGACCAATTAAGTACATGTAGTGGAAGAAATTCTAGAAGAGACTAAACATTTTTTAGCTTCATTAAGCACCACCTTGAAGTAAATAGTTGGGTTTTAAATCGAATACCTTAGGCTTTGTTTACTGTTATATTTTATGTTATTGTTTGAATTATCTACTCTGATAAATAAAATGATTTCTGTTATTTTATAGTATGTATTATATGTATTCATTTTGTAGTTCGTTGTTATTAATTTCATCATCATAAGGTCGTCAGTTCTAAGACTGGTTAGACACGTACCTACACTCTTTCCTATCCTGAGCTAATCTTTGCATTTCTCTAAAATTAGAACAACCCACATCCTTAACTATTTGCGAACAGTAATCTAACCTAGGTCTACCTCTACCCCTCCTAACTCCTGTTTCTACCCCTAATATGTCTCTGACTAGACCTTCATGTGATTCAATGAAAACAACAATGATATTTCAAATTTTTTTATAATAGTGTGTGTCTGTGTTGTTTAATTTTATTAGTCATGAGTAATTTTGCAATTAATTTATCTATTTTAAAGTGAATTTCATTATAATCCATTTGTTACGTTACAATTTGCATTTGGGGTGAATATCAAATCCGTTTCAATTTGAGCATATTCTGAAAGCGAGATTGATTGAAGGAATTATTATCAAATTTTTCATACCTCCACATCAATTTATTTTAAAAGTGAGCCAAGCGGATGTAATAATTCCGTGACTGTTAAAAGCTTTTTTGTGTAGTAGGTATTTTATGCGGCGGAAGTGTGGTAATGTATTTTCAGCATTTATATAGTTAACCTTTTCCAATGCTAAACGTAAAATATTCCATGAAAAATAAGACGCAATGCATAAGTTTAAACGTGTGGAAAATTATTTATGTATTTTTAAAATGTAAAAATGCTGGAATATGCTATTTTGTATATGAACATACAATAATTTAAATAAAATTATTACAATGTTTTTAGAATATATATTTTTAAGGCAACCCTCATTAACATTCACGAGAAGTTCTCAAATTAAAAGTATTTTATATTAGTGGTTTTCTGTATTATTAGAGCCTCAAAAACTGTCTAAACTCTCAAACAACTTTCAAAAGAGGCACGCGATTTCATAGACCAATTTCCTCCTATGTGGAACGGTAAGTTCGTGAACCAGCTATGTACATCCTGACGGCACTTTGAAATAGAACGTAGAAGTCGAGAATACCTGACTCTTTTTAACTGAAACAAAGGAGATAGGATACTAATATCATTGTAAATTGTCCCAAACCCATTGACACTATTATCTCCAAAAATTTAAAAATGTACCACAATTTCTACAGATGCAATCTATTTGATTATAATTTCTCCTTAAGCCACAAAGAAAAGCTATTTCGTTACCGTTGTAGTTTGAAATACAACACTCCTTTTTCAGGTCTACTAAGAGCACTGGAGGAAACAGCATCATGATAGATGATGACTGCTGGGTTGACTATACAAATAGCAGCACCGACTAGTAAGAATTACAGCAGAATTAAAGGTCAATGGTGCTCTTCTGTTTTCAGATTACAACACAGGGGTATTCAGAATCATTCAACATTCTGGTTGACCTGGTCATGGAAATAACATCAGAGTCAATGGAATTATAATATCTTGCAGAGTAAATGGTTTAAGTGTAGTAAAGGGTAGTGTGTTTATCCAGTTCATGGGTTCTAACAAATAATTCGGCAAGAATAATGAGTGAAGTCTCGTTAAACTGCTGCAAATTATTGTTATCCAACTTTTAGTTTCATAATGCTTATGCAGCAAAGTAATTTCCTACTCATCCCTGGTCCTGCGGTCAATAAGGTTTTAAACCTTATAGCAGTCCTCCTGTCATTCATTCCACTCCTCCAGTTTCTTAAAGGTCTAATATGTTCTGGTTAGACTATTAATCGTCTTATTTACATCGTGGCCCTTTAGTGTCCTAAAATCTTTCTATCACTGGGTTGTAGTCCGATGGCCCTCCATCGCCGTTCTTCCTTCGTCTTTGTCTAGGTGCAGTAGTCCCAGCAACTTCTTGTTTCAGATTCTTTTCTAACAAGTCTCTCATTGAATTTGTTGAAGTGAAAGTTCTTTGGGCTCGATGGGAGTGAAGTCTCAAGGCCATGAAACGACACGTCTTGCAACGTTTTGTCTCGTGACGCGATAGGCTATGACAATAGAAAGGCGCGCATGCGCATATCCGTATTACAGTCAGCTGTTAGTGACCGGCATCTCATATGTTATTGTATACTGTATATTCAATATACTATAGTGCTAAATCAATGTTTTAGTTATATCTGTGCAATTATGTTACACTAAATGTTTATTTAACAACAATTATTATTTATTTAAGAGTGAGTATTATTATGTATTAATTCTAATTCCTTGTAGTTATTGATAGTTTACGGTTTCTTAAGCACTTGGAAAAATAAACGGAAGAAAAAAAAAATTGACCACTTTTTTTGTTATTGAATTACATAAAAACGTATTAAAATAATACTCCTTAGGTGGACTAAAGATAAAATATGTTGGAAAACATAAATCCTAAAAATTCTCG